TTTGCCTTCTTTGTTCTTTTTTTTTTTTTGTAGTGAGAGAGTTGAGTAGTGCTTTGCCAACATGCTTTCGGGGCAATTTTGGGGCAGACATCTTGTGCACCATCAGTGAGACATTTCTGTGCATTTTACTTTCTGGACATCACCAGGGCACATGCAGAAACACGAAGGGATTTGTGCCTGCAGGCCAGGATGCTTCAGGGCTCCCTGGTCCATCACCATTTTTTCTGGAGCTGCTCCGGTCAGTGAATGACTTTCTGTGGCTTGGAGGTAAGGTGGTCTGATGCAGATGATCAGATGTGTAGTTAAAGTGCTGTTACTTGAAATAAGAGAAAACCTTGAAATACAGCTCTAAAAATACAGGATGAGGGAGGAGATTTGACTGAGCTGCTAGTAGTGGGGAGTCTTCTCAGGTGACTCCCTCACCGTGATTCTTGCCAATATCCGCCCCAGCCCTGCAGGGTAGTCCTGCTGAAGCAAGCATGACCTTTGCTCAGAAATGTGCTGAATTTTCTTGTGTCTCTGTGTGTTAGCTTTTTTAAAGCACATCTTGCCCTTTGCTTTGAATGAAATTCTTGTTAGGAACCTCTTACACTCATTCTTCCAGACCTTGTCCATATATAGCTGCTGAGTGGATGAACAGAATAAAATATCTCCATGTAGTGGAATATTATTAAGACATAAGAATGAATAAAAAAGAAAAAATTGGGGGGGGATGAAAAAGGCCACTTGCTCTTGGAAGTCCACCCTGACGGCTCAACCCGCCCTTTTCCCTTTGAAACCCCACCCCTTATACTTCTCTCTATTTGATAGTATTTATCACCTTCTTATAAACTACAACCTTTAAAAAAAATAAGATGCTAATACCACTTTGAAATGGATGACCGTTAATAACAGCATGTTAAGTAAAAGGAGCCAGACACAAAAGGCCACATATTGTTGATTTCAGTGATCTGAAATGTCCAGAATAGGCACATGCAGAGGCAGAGAGCAGATGATGCTTGTGAGGGGCTGACTGGATAGGGGGATGGGGAGTGACTGCTTATGGACAGGGGATTTCTTTTGGGGTGATGGAGTGTTCTGGAGATAGATGATGGTAAGGGCTGCACAACCGTGAATATACAGAAAGTTGCTGAATCATACCCCTTTAAGTGGGTGAGTTTTATTATATGTGAATTATATCTCAATTATAAAACACTGGAAAAAAAAACTCAGTCGAAGGACAGCCTCTCCTGGGCCTGCCCCACAGTGGGTTCTGCCAGTCTCCCTCTGTGCTTGAGATGCTTGTGACAGTTTTCTCCTGCAGGGACTGTCTCCTGGAGGTGGGAGCGGGAGGCATGGTCCATGTGTCTCCATCATCTATCATGTTGCAGATGTTCCCTAAATGCTTGTTAATAAGTGCTCTGGAAGTAAGGACTAAAATGGGGCTCTTTCCTGGAAGAAGCTGTCAGCTCAGAGGGCCTGCCAGTCACTTAGGATAAATATGGGTCAGAGTGAAGTAACAAAATTCTCTGATAGAAGTTTAACAACGAGCTGTAGTATGCACTAAGTAGAAGAGATTCTTGAATGGACTTACATTTCCTAATTTGGCTTCTTAAAGAAAAGAGAGAAATAAAAGTGGGAAAGAGAAGAAATCAGTGCAAAAGAAAATAGAAAACATGTAAAATAATTAAGCTGAATGAGAAAAGGAAATGATGGGAGCTTGAGTACATTGTATTTAAAGAGAAGTCTGTAAATCCTTGTGACTGGTGGCTGGAGGGTAGCTGTGAGATTGGGCACTTCTCCAGGATGAGAACCCACCTGGGACCCTGACCCACATGGTGGTGAATGGCTGTCAGCTTCCTGCAGAGAACGGTGTCCTGTGTTCTTGGCCTGTCACCTTCAGTCTATTGGAAAGGTACAGTGGAGCTTTCCGGGGGCTCCACGACGTGCGACACCATAGCAGATGGAGGGCAGAAGTGCTTGTGGGGACCCGGCTCACTTGTGTTGAGCCAGACGGTAAGGAAATTTGTAGAACTGTAAAACGATACCACTCTTCTGGCGTTTTCTTTTGGAAAATAGTTATCCTTCATAAAAATTTAACATTTATTGCGCTTATTATTTTAATAGGAATGAATACATAAAGTTTTAAATCCTTCTCTATTTTTCTTCATTTTTTTAATGGAGGTACTGGGGATTGAACCCAGGACCTCTTGCATGCTAAGCATGTGCTCTATCCCTGAGCCATATCCCTCTCCCCTAGTTTTACTTTTGAATATGGTAAGTATCTGTAGGTATAACCTGCACACACACACAAAAGCACTCTTTGAGATCCTCAGTGACTTTTCAGAGTGTCAGGGAGATCGAAGACCAAAAAGTTGGAGGCCCACAGAGCTAAAGAATAGAGATGAAGACTGTAGCCCAGCTTGTCAGACGTGTGGCTGCTTAAGGTTCTCAGGGTGGACCTGCCAGTGAGGGGAGAGCAAAAGGCTGTAGCTACTAACAGGGGCTGCCTTTGAGAAGGAGGCAGGCCAATTAGATATTTATTCCAGGTGGGGCAGATGAATTTAGGGTGAAGGAGGTGAAAAGGTATTCTGGTCCTGCTTCAGGTGGTATTATTTTAAAACACTTTCATTTCGGGGTCATTCCTGCTCAATCCATCTCTCTGCAGTGGCAGCATCTGGCCCAGAGCCTGCCGCAGAGCACACATTAGATTCTTGGTTAAATGAAGGACTGGATGGCCTGTTTCACGTGTGGGCTCAGTCCTTCAGTGGAACCCTGAGCATCGTGAGATTCTTCTGTGTTGCCAGCCTTGACACGGGCATGCAGAGCAGAAAAGGTGGCATGTTTCTGTTTGTAACAAAGCCAGAGATCTGTGGGTTTGATCCTTGGGGGAAAAATTGGCATTTCCAAGTAATCAGACTGTCCAAATCATTCTTAGTCACTGCAGTTTGAGATGAGGATGAGCCGTAATTTTGTTCATTGTACTTTCATTTTAACGCCCAGCTGACCCTGAGGGTCTGTGTTCGGCCTCTGTCATCTGTCACTATCTTGCTGAGACTGGTTGCTAAGCTGGGGCTCAGAGGTTCCAGGGCAGCTCACTTCCTGCTGAGGCAACCAACAGACACTGCCCAGGTAAGCTCTGCCCGTGCCTCTGTCCTGGGCTCGTTGGCAGTCCTTCAGCAAGCAGGAGTAATTTGTTATTGTCCCCTCTGAGTTAAACTTGACTAATGTTTAAATAAAGTATAAAATCCATTTCGTCAAGAATCCTACACGTGAGATATTTTCTTGTGATTTTACTGAATATGCATCGATCTTATTGAGTCTTATTAAATGATAATAATGGATTACAGTCATTGGTTGATTTCTGGAACAGATACATAACATTTCATGGTAGATCAACTTTAAACTTCTGGGTTCTTTTCATCCTGTGTATTTGCTGATGTTAATCCCAGATGTCAGTTTTAACAGCTGATTCAGGGCCTGGGGGCTGCTGCTTTTTTTTCCTGGTTGACAAATTTCTCTTACTGAGTGAAGTTAGCTTTGGTTATGTTCAATAGCAGCTGCAGACAGCAAAGAATTTTTTTTCAGGAGATGACCTGCAAATGATCACTGAATGACTTTGACCCTTTGGGCCCCTAGTGAATGAAATTGCCTTAAAAGGTTCAGGACATAGCTGTCATATCGCACAGGTTGCAAAAGTAATAACAGAATGCGGAGATCCAGGTGGGACACAGAGCTGCCAGGTGATTTTTCATCCATGAGTTTTCATTTATTTATTTTTTATGGATTATTCCCTCCAAGGAGAAAGCCTCTGGTAGTAGATGTGTATTAGATGAGGAAATGCCTTAAATTTCCTTTTCCCTGATTTATTCCATCCCCTACCACCAATAAGTGGTGCAGAGAACATTTATAAGCCACCACTGAAGCCGCGCGGTCTGAACCTGGGTGCACTCTTTGTACCCAATGAATCTGATGGTTCTTGAAGATAGGTTCATCATTCTTCCTCAGATCATTCTAGTGGTTTCAGTGGGGTCTCAGCTACTGGAGAGGGAAGAGGCAGCCTGAGATGTGATAAAGATTAGGTCTAGATGTCTCTGTTCCCCCTTTCCTGGGCTTGATTCTGACCTGAGGTCCCTCCCTTCAGTGTTCCCCCCACTGTGTTTATCCCTTGCCGTCGTCTCTGCTGTCTCTGGGAGGTGGTTCCAGCTTTCTAAGCCCCCAGTCCTCTGCTCCCTCTCTCTGGGAGTGCCTGCTGTTGTGGGTGGCTTTGTTTTGTTGTCGCCCTGCAATGTGAAGAGTCCTCATGTGCTGAGGCTGTTCTACTCATTTGAGCAGTGAGGCTCAGAGATTTTGCAGAGTCATGTTTCTTTTTCCCCCTTGCTGAGTGTACTTGAAAAAGATTTAAGCCTGAGAAAGGGCTCTGTCTGCAGAAATGTCTTCATTTAGTTTTGCATGGTATAAAAACCTTGAGAGCTTTTTAATCATTGAAGACAGTCTGTGGGGAAACAGTCAGTGAAGCCCAGGTGAGATCTGGAAGAGCCGCACTTCCCTCACTGCCAAGGGTGGTGACTTCACCCCTGTTCAGTCAGTAAAGGGTCCAGACTTGTGAACGGAGGTGACAACATGAATACATATGTGTATCCGCTGCTTCACCTTGGGTGTTAATTTCAAGCTGAGGCGGTTTCTGGCGGCAGCCTCATCCTACATCAGGAATTTATGAGGAAGACAAGACAGACTTGATTAGTGTAGTATGAAGTTTTCATGAAACTAATGTCATTCTAGTAAGATAGGGACTAGTTAAAGTGCCTTAAGCAGACAACCGTGAAGATTATTTACATAGAATGTGGATTTTTACAGCTCAGAATTTGTATTGCCATGTAAACATCCACTAGAAATTTTAAATTTGAAGGAATCTGACCAGAACCATTAATTTAGAAAAATCAACATTAAATATTTTCAGGCAATAACCTTATATCTTTTGTGACTGAAGAAAATTTTGATTTTTTTCTGTACTCTTAATAGGTTTTAAAATATCAAAACATTGATTTGACATGTCACTTTTTAAATAGAGAGAAAAAAGTTCTAGCTGTTTTAATATGTAACTAAATATTTTTGTATTTCAGCAAACTGGTGTGATTTCCTGACTCTTTGGGAAGTATTTTGCAAGACACTTAGATTACCTACTGTTGGAAAAATGCAGAAGTGACTTTTATGAATATAGGACTAGTACAGATCTGTTGGTTTTTGATATAGTGCAAGACATGAGGACTAGGAGAGCTTTGCTGCTGATTGCCAGAAGGACAGATGCCGGGTCTCAGTCTCCCCTCCTGTAAAATGAAGAGGCTTACCTGGATTCTTTCCACTACTGAGTTTCCATGAGCCTATGTCTTTTGTTTATATTCAGGAGTATTTACAATTTCATATTAAATGCTGAATACCACTCCCTTCCCTGAAGCAGAATTCAGTGTGTGCTAGATAAGCATTTAGTTATCTGATTCTTCTTTTTTTTTAATTTTATTTTACTGAGTTACAATGTTGTGTCAATGTTGTGTCAATTTCCAGTGTACAGCACAATTTTTCAGTTATACATGAACATGCATATATTCATTGTTACATTCTCTTTCACTGTGAGCTACCACAAGATCTTGTATATATTTCCCTGTGCGATACAGTATGTTCTTTTTTTTTATCTATTCTATATATACCTGTCAGTATCTACAAATTTCAAACTCCCCGTCTATCCCTTCCCACCCCCCTCTTCCCTGGCAACCAGAAATTTGCATTCTTTGTTTATGAGTCTGTTTCTGTTTTGTATTTACATTCATTTGTCCTTTTCTTTTCTTTTTAGATTTCACATATAAGTGATCTCATATGGTATTTTTCTGTCTCTTTCTGGATTACTTCGCTTAGAATGACATTCTCCAGGAACATCCATATTGCTGCAAATGACATTATGTTGTCATATTTATGGCTGAATAGTATTCCATTGTATAAATATACCACATCTTCTTTATCCACTCATATGTTGATGGGCATTTAGTCTGCTTCCCTGTCTGGACTATTGTAAATAGTGCTGCTATGAATATTGGGGTGCAAGTGTCTTTTCGAAGTTGGGTTCCTTCCGGATATGTGCCCAGGAGTGGGATTCCTGGGTCATATGGTAAGTCAATTCCTAGTCTTTTCAGGAATCTCAATACTGTTTTTCACACTGGCCGCACAAATCTGTATTCCCACCAGCAGTGTAGGAGGATTCCGTTTTCTCCACAGCCTCTCCAACGTTTGTCATTTGTGGACTTTTGAATGATGTCCATTCTGGTTGGTGTGAGGTGATACCTCACTGTAGTTTTGATTTGCATTTCTCTGATAATTAGTGATATTAAACATTTTTTCATGTGTCTATTGATCATTTTTATTTCTTCCTTGGATAATTGGTTGTTTATGTCTTCTGCCGATTTTTGGATTTTTTTTTATATTAAACTGTATGAGCTGCTTATATATTCTGGAGATCAAGTCTTTGTCGGTTTTATCATTGCAAAATGTTTCTCCCATTCCGTAGGTTTTCATTTTGTTTTGCTTATGCTTTCCTTTGCTATGCAGAAGCTTGTATATTTAATTAGGTCCCATTTGTTTATTCTTGCTTTTATTTCTATTGCTTGGGTAGACTGCCCTAGGAGAACATTCTTGAGATGAATGTCAGACAATGCATTGCCTAGGTTTTCTTCTAGGAGGTTTATTGTATTTTGTCTTATGTTTAAGTCTTTGATCCATTTTGATATTATTTTTGTCTATGATGTAAGGGAGTGTTCTATTCTAGCTTCGTTGCTTTACATGCTGTTGTCCAGTATTCCCAACACCATTTGCTGAAGAGGCTGTCTTTGTTTCATTATATGTTCTTGCCTCCTTTGTCAAAGATTAGTTAATGAAAAGTTTGTGGGTTCATTTCTGGGCTTTCTATTCTGTTCCATTGGTTCATATGTCTGTTTTTTCCCAGTATCATGCTATTTTGATTACTGTAACTCTATAGTATTGTCTGAAATCTGGGAGGGTTATTTCTCCAGCTTCTTTCTTTTTCTTCAGTAATGCTTTGTCAATTCTAGGTGTTTTATGCTTCCATATAAATTTTATTATGATTTGTTGTAGTTCTGTGAAATATGTCCTGGATAATTTGGTATGGATTGCATTAAATCTGTAGATTGCTTTGAGCAGGGTGACCATTTTAACAATATTGATTCTTCTACTCCAAGAGCATGGGATACTTTTTCCATTTTTTTAAGTCTTCTTTAATTTCCTTAATCAGTGTTTGTATAGTTTTCCATGTATAAGTCTTTCACCTCCTTAGTTAGATTTACTCTTGATAGTTTATTACTTTGGATGCCATTTTAAAGGGAATTGTTTCTTTACTTTCTTTTTCTGTTGATTCACCATTAGTGTAAAGAAATGCAACTGATTTTTGAATGTTAATCTTGTAACCTGCTATCTTGCTGAATTCTTCAATTATTTCTAGTAGTTTTTGTGTGGACCTTTTAGGGTTTTCTATATGTGGTATCATGTCATATGTGTATAGTGACAATTTTACCTCTTCTTTTCCAATCTTGGTCCCTTTTATTTCTCTCTCTTGCCTGATTGCTGTGGCTAGGACTTCCAAGACTATATTGAATAGGAGTGGTGATAGTGGCCAGCCTTGTCTTGTCCCAGATTTTAGTGGGAAGATTTTGAGCTTTTCATCATTGAGTACTATGGTGGCTGTAGCTTCTATTATGTTGAGATATGTTCCCTCTATACCCACAATGGTGAGAGTTTTTATCATAAATAGGTGTTGAATTTTATCAAAAGCTTTTTCTGTATCTATTGAGAAGATCATTTTTTTCCTTTCTTTTGTTGATGTGAGTATTACATTGATTGATTTGCGTATGCTGAACCATCCTTGTGTCCCTGGGATGAACCCCACTTGATTATGATGTGTACTCTTTTTAATGTGCTGTTGGATTCTATTTGCTAGTATTTTGGTATGGATTTTTGCATCTATGTTAATCAGTGATAATGGTCTGTAATTCTATTTTTTTGGTGGTGGCATTGCCTGGTTTTGGTATCAGGGTGATGGTGGCTTTATATGAGTTTGGAAATACTCTCTCTTGTTCAGTCTTCTGAAAGAGTTTGAGAAGGACTGGCATTAGTTCCTCTTTGTATGTTTGGTAGAATTCCATTGTGAAGCTGTCCAGTCCTGGACATTAATTTGTAGGGAGGTTTTTTATTGCTAATTCAATTTCATTTCTAGTGATCAGTTTGTTCAAGTGGTTAGTCTCTTTTGATTCAGTCTTGGTGGACTGTATGTTTCCAGAAACTTGTCCATCTCCTGTAGGTTATCCATTTTGGTTCCATACAGTTTTTCATAATATTCTCATATGATATTCTGTATTTCCATATTTATTGGTTGTAATTTCTCCATTTTCCTTTCTTATTTTGCTTATTTGTGCTCTCTCCTTTTTCTTCTTTGTGAGTTTGGCCAGAGGTTTGTCGATTTTATTTAGTCTTTCAAAAAACCAGCCTTTGGTTTGATTGATTTTTTTTCTATTTTTTTAATCTCTATTTTATTTATTTCCTCCCTGAGTTTTATTATTTCCTTCCTTCTGCTGACTTTTGGGTGTTTTTGGTCTTCTTTTTCTAGTTCTTTTAGCTGGTGGATTATATTGTTTATTTGAGATTGTTCTTCTTTTTTGAGGAAGACCTATATTGCTGTAAATTTCCCTCTTAGCATTGACATTGCTGCATCCCATAAGTTTTGTGTGGTTGTGTTTTCATTTTCATTTGTCTCAAGCTATTTTTTAATTTCAACTTTGATTTCCTCATTGACCCATTGGTTTTTTAATAGCATGTTGTTTAATTTCCATGCTTTCCTTTTTTTTCTTTGTTTCTCTGTAGTTGATTTATAGTTTCATGGCACTGTGATCAGTAAAGATGCTTGAGATAATTTCTATCTTCTTAAAATTGTTGAGGCTTCTTTTGTGCCCAAGCACATGATGAATTCTAGAAAATGTTCCATGTGAACTTGAAAAGAATGTATATCCTATTTTTGGGGAGTGCAATGCTCTGAAAATACCCACCAAATCTAATTTTTCTATTGTATCATTTTTCTCTGTTGCCTTCTTTATTTTCTGTCTGAAAGATCTGTCTAGTGATGTTAATGTGGTGTTAAAATATTCCAACAATGATTGTTTTCCCATCAATTTCCTCATTTATCTCTGTTAGTAGTTGTTTTATGTACTTAGGTACTCCTATGTTGGGTGTGTATAAATTAATTATTGTAATATCCTCATCTTGTATTACTCCTTTAATCATTATAATATGTCCTTTTTATCTTTCTTTATGGCCTTTGTTTTAAAGTCTATTTTATCTGAAATCAGTACTGTAAAACCTGCTTTTATTGGCTTTTCCATTTGCATGGAATATACTTTTCATCCTTTCACTCTCAATCTATATGTGTCCTTCTCCCAAAAGTGTGTCTCTTATATGCAGCATATTGAAGGTTCTTGCTTTATTATCCAGTCTGCCACTCTTCGTCTTTTGACTGGAGCATTTAGTCCATTAACATTTTCAGTAATTAATGATAGATGAGTATTTATTGCCATTTTCAACTTATTTTTGCATTTGATTTGGTATTTTCTCTTTGTTCCTTTCTTCTTCCTTTTGTGATTTGGTAAATTTCCTGTGTATTATCTTGGATTTCATTTAGTTTGTTTGACTCACTTGTAAGCTTTTGGCTTGTGGTTACCCTTTTTTTGTAAGTCTATTAACCTATTACTGTAAATGTTAATGCTAAACAGATAATAATATTAGCTCAAACCCATCCTATCGGGAACACTTTTTTTTTTTAAAAAGAAGGAAGAAAAACAAATACTGTATGTTTTCTTGCTTCCCTCTCCCACTCTTAATGATTTAGATGTCCTCTTTTACAATTTTCTATTTATTCTATTTGTAATTCATGGCAGTCATCCCCTTTCCAGTTCTGAGTTTCTCATTTTTGTAGCATCCTGCTTCTTTTCTATTTAGAGTAGACCCATCAATATTTCTTTTACCATGGGTTTAGTGTTGTTAAACTCTAAGTTTTTGCTCATCTGTTAAGTTCTTTATCTCTCCTTCTATTCAAAAGGATAGCCTTGCTGGATAGAGTGTCCTAGGCTGCATATTTTTTCATTCAGGACTTTGAATATATCTTGCCACTCCCTTCTGGCCTGTAGTGTTTGTGAAGAGAAATCAACTGAGAGACTTATGGGGGTTCCCTTACAACTCACCTTTGTGTTTTTCTCTTGCTGCCTTTAGGATCATTTCTTTATCCTTGACTCTGGCCATCTTGATTAGGATGTGTCTTGGTGTGAGCCTGTTTGGGTTCTTCCTGTTTGGGACCCTCTGAGCCTCCTGTACTTGGATATCTGATTCCTTCTTTAGGTTTGGGAAGTTTTCAGTCATGATTTCTTCAAATACCTTTTCAATCCCATTTGTTCTTTTTTCCCTTTCTGGAAACTCTATTATGCATAGATTAGCGTGCTTTGTATTATCCCATATGTCCCTTTATTGTTTTCATTGTTTTTTATTTGTTTTTCTCTCAGCTGTTCTGATTGGGTGGTTTCTGTTTCTTGTCTTCTAGGTTACTTATTCATTCCTTTGCATTATCTAGCCTGCTATGTACAGCTATTAGATCACTTCTCATTTCAGCCAGTGAGTTTACCAGTTCACTTGGTTCTTCTTTATAGCTTCTATTTCATTTTTGACATATTTTATATCTCTAAACACTATCTCTTTTAGTTCCTTCAGTACTTTGATCACTCCTTTCTTTGAAATCTTGATCTAGTAGGCCATCAATATCTATTTCCTTGATTGTGCTTTCAGGGGATTTCTCTTGCTCTTTTAATTGGGAGTGGTTCCTCTGCTTCTTCATTTTGCTCATATCTCTCTGACACTGTGACTTAAGGATTATCAGTTATCTACTGTGGTACTTAAGGAGTGTATTTATTTATCTACCTAAAGCCTATGCAGGAATAAAACAGATTTTTTCACTTCTTTGCCCTTCAAAGAAGGTGATGTTCTGTCTGTGTTCAGCAGGTGCTCTGGTTGGCTGAGTGGGTCCATAGATGTGAGTTTTGGTGTATTTGTTGGAGAGAGTTAGCTATGAGCATTCTTCCACTCCTCCATCTTGCTTCTAAACTCCAATATCATGTGTTTTTATAGTGAGAGGTATTACAGTGTTGAAAGCAGGGCCTGGTTCAGTTAAAAATGAGCTGAGGGCATGAGGGATGAGGCATCTTCCACCCTCTCCCTTCCTAGGGTGAAACATATGACCATCAATTTTAAAAAGATAGTCACAGTCCCTAAGTAGTCCAGCTCAACTAGTGTATGTTAACAGGAGCAGCACCACCAGAGGTGCTGCTCACCCAAAAATATTGCAGTCTTAAAGATCTCTTGATCTTTTTGTTCGGTTTTGGTTTTTTGTTTTTCTTGAATCGTGGAGCATACGACTAGTTTAGAGGGAAAAATAGTTGTCAGGAAATTTTTTTTCATATAAGAGTTTCATTGCAATTTTGTTCACACACCATGAAGTCCACCCATTTAAATGGTACAATTTGGCGGCTTTTAGCATATTCACAATGGTGCAACCATCATTATTCCAGAATGTTTTCATTGCTCCAAAAAGAGCTGTGGAAATGAATGACCCATCCAACCCTCCCCAGATCTAAAGAAGTTTCTTGGCTGTTCCTGAGCATAAATTAACTTGTTACATTCCATGAAAAAGCTGGGGGCAATTCTAATCAGAATTGCATTGAATCTATATATTAGAATGGGGAGAATTAATGTCTTTATGACATAAACTTTTTCTATCCATAAGTATATCTGGGACCCTATCTTTTTATCTCTGTAGTGTGTGGCCCATGGGTAGTCCTTACTAATTGTTGGGTCTGTGAATGATGAGATTATATACACCATTAATTGTGACTGTAGCCTTTCACAGAAGAGAAAACTAACCTCAGTGAAGCCAAGTGTCTCCCTGATGGTCAGAAAGAGTGACAGCCAGTGCTGGAGTGATCCAGTGGACTTGGTGCTTGCAACCAGTGTTCTCCCCCTCCTACAGCTAAGGAGATTACAGAGTTCTTTTAATTTTTTTAATGGTGTTGCTTTTATTTTTATTTATTTATTTATTTCTTAAATTCTTATTTTTTATTGAAGTGTAATCAATTTACAATGTTAGTTTCAAGAGTACAGCAGTGATTCAGTTATATTTATGCATATGTACACATATAATTTTCAGAGTGTTTTTAGTACAACTCATTACAAGAAATTGAATATAGTTCCATGTGTTATACAGTAGGTCCTTGTCATTTATTTATTTTATATATAGTTATGTGTATCTGTTAATCCTAAACTCCTAATCTGTCCCTCCCTCCTTTCCCACCTGCTGACCACAGTTTGCTATGTCCATGAGTATTTCTAGCAGCATCCTTTTTGCTAGTAATATATGCTGGTTGGCTGCCTTCACTTTCATTAATTCCATCTTATCTGTAGGTGTTTTTCTTCTGGTGGGCCTGCATGTGGTTTGCACACGTGTTCATAGAGATCTGTATTTGGGAGAACTCCAGGCCTCGTGTAGTGCCTGGCACGGAGCTCCTGCTGAGCTCATGCTTGAACTGGGAAAAAACATAGTAAAGTTGGAATTTCCAGTATGATTTAGACTTCTGGGTATCTGTAACCTACGCTTAGCCCACCTTAATGTTGGCTGCACCTGTAGTGGATCATTTGATGGAACTTCATGGTATGGCGGTGTAGAGACAGGGCTTTATATAATTTTTCATCTTCCTTTTTTCTGACACTCATTCTCCTGGGCCTCCCAGATCCTCCCCCAGAGCTCTCAGGGCTGGCTTGGTGCTGTGCTAAGGCAATATTTGTTGATATGTCCCTTTCCTCATCTCTCCTGAGACTCCATTTCCTTCTCTGCACAATGAGAGCTTGGACTAGATAAGTGCTTTTCGGTTTCTTTTAAACGCATGTCTCCTTTTGAGAAACCGAGAACTCAAATCTCTCCTCCCAACCTAACTCTTCATATTTTGATACATCCTCCAAGTGTTGACACAGCTCTTTGTGGAAAGTTGATGTGATTTTGCTTCTTCCCAAGTGGTGCAGAAGAGACTTCAGAGATTTATTGCAGGGAGGGGACAGGAGGGGGGCAGTATGTCAAACTTTTTGGTATAAGCGCTGGAGCAGAGACTTTGGTTTAAATACAGCCTGTGACGTGGCCTCTCTCTAATCTTGCACAATGTAATAAACCTCTCTTTTCCTCGGTTTCTTCATGTGTCAAGTTGGAATGTTATTATTTTAGGGTTTTCATGAAACAATATACACATAAGTCATTAGTTTCTCAGTAGAAACATGACCTGTTAGGGAGTCAGGGATTCCTTAAAAAAAAAAAAAAACCTTGCCCATAGCATCCTGTCGATGTGTATTTTGAAGTTCCTGGAGGGTGAGGGTTGAGTCTAAATTCCATCATGGGACAGGTGACCCCTGGGTCTCTGTGCCCCAGATTGCCCACTCCTCCCCAGTCATCTTCCTCTCAGTCCAGGATGAAGTTCCTGCCATTAAAATTGCACAGAGTTCTTGTGGATATGGCTTATAATTTTATTGTTTTACTGGGGAGGGCTGCTGTCATATTTCCATGGTCAGGTTTTGGTGAACTGAAGGCTATGCAATTGGGGGTTCCTATTAAGAAAAAGAAAACAAAGCTACAAATACAAAATTAGACCTAGGATGGTGGCAGGGGCTCTTGGAAGTGGGGACGATTAGCTTTGTTAACTTCAGGTGCAGTGGCTTCTGGCCATGAGGGCCCATCCTTGTGCTCTGGTGTTGGAGGGACCAGTGGGTTCAGTGGGAATGTTTAATGAGTGTATCTCATGGGCTGGGCATTGTCCTATTTGTACTGTGTGTTCCTAATTAAAGAGAGTGAGCTCATTTAATCTCAGTAGCCTCTAAAAAATTAGACTTTTTATTTTGAGATGTAATGAAGATTCCTATGCAGTTGTAAGAGCTGATATGGAGACAGCCTATGTACTCTTTGCCCAATTTTCCTTAATCGTTCCATCTTGCAAGGTTGGGGTACAATTCATTATTGACTCACTAACCCTTTGAGGTTTGTGTTATTACCCTCATTTCTATTCGTGATTAAACTGGGGTTTAGAGAAGCACATAGACCTGCCCAGGTCACCCACATGGTTAGTGTAGAGTCCGGTGGGACATGGGCTTGGGGTTTCCAGGCAGTGCCATTGTGATGGTCTGTGGCAGGGGCAGCATTCACTTGCGTGTTTATTAATTCATTCAACAAACATTTATTGAGTAAACTCTGTGGGTCAGATGCTTTCATACGGTTATCTAATTCTTCAGCAGTACTGAGAATCAGCTAATATTTTCTTCTTTCATCTGTGAAAATTAACTCTCAGAGGTCATAAAACCTCCCAAAGGAAATACAGCTCATAAAGGAGGGATTAGTAAATTTGTACAGTCCCCCCTTTTTATGCAGGTGGTAAACTAGGCATTTTGCATTTGCTATCTGCCTTGATCTAGATATATCCTTGTAAGGCAAGGTTTGTTTTTGTTTTGTTTGTTTTGTTTTGTTGTTTTGTTTTTAATTGAAGTATAGTCAAGTTTACAGTATTGTGTTAATTGCAATGTTTTTCCTTTTTAATTTTTAATTCATTTTTATGGGGTAATTAAGTTTATTTTTTGTTTCATTTTTTTAATGGAGACAATTGGGATTGAACCCAGCACCTCGTGCATGCTAAGTATGTGCTTTACCACTGAATTGTACCCTCCTCCCCAGGGCGAGTTTTCTTATCCATTATTTTGCAGTGTAAATTGGAGTTGAAATCCAGATCTTTCAATCCCACTGTGGTTCTTTTCATTATATTCTGCTGAAGGGTGGGGAAGCAGTTCCTTTGTTCATTCACTTATTCAGCATTTTTGAGCATCAGGGCCTGACTAGATGTTGGAAACAGAAAATAAGAAATGACCCTTTTTTGCAGGGGCTGGAAGCCTAGACCAAGAGCAGGATAATGTGATCCTAGCTACAGTAGACATGTGCAGACTCTGAGGACAGACTGTACCCCCAGGTTTGCTTGGGCTTCCCTTGCCTTCTGGCTGGTACACACAGGTCGCCGCATCCCAGAAGGCCCTGCAGCCCACAGCACAGCGTGTACCTTAGTCTCCTCTCCCCTCTTGGCAGGGCCTGCAACATAAGCATTGCTGACTACGTGCAGTGTGCTGAGGACCACCAGACTCTCCCCATGGTGGTCCAGCACGTGGGATTATCTTGGGGGAGAATCTCTTATGCATCTATAAACATATATCCTCAGTGAGCCAGGTCAGGCTGTGCGGCTTCCAGCAGTCATTCTGTATCTGCTACAGGTACCACTACCCACACAAGAATGAGTGGGGAGACTTCCAGACCCGCCGAAGTGTCATGGGCCTCATCACCATCACTGACCACTTGGCCAAGGACTGGCTGCAGATCGAGGAGCTCCCTGTGCAGAGGAGCTGTGTGGCAACATGCAGGACGATTCATGGCTCTTCATCTTTGTGCTGAAGGGCGAGCTCGCCGAGCAGCTGCACACTGATTTGGCCTTGTACCCCAGCTATGAGGACTGTGGGATGGTGGAGAAGAGGATCAAGGAATTCATTGAGTCGCTCTTCATCGTGCTCGAGTCCAAGCACCTGGACAGGGCCACCAACAATTTTGGGGACAAGATCCCCCTCCTTTGCATCCCATTTGAGAAGAGGGACTTGGTGGGACTGGACACAGACAGCAGGTTAGCCTACGTGGAGTCCCGGCTGCCCTGGCTGTGTGTCTGGGTTGTTTTCCTACATCCAGAAAGGGATCAGCAAGAAGGGGAGCTGGCTTGCAGCCAAGGGGGGAGGGTGATGCAGCCTGATGGTTTCCAAAGTTTTAAAAATGAATTCATCTTTAGTTCAGAGAGATCCATTTAGGGTTAGTTTGGATACTTACTCCCCCTTTCCAACCAAGACCCCTGGTGGGACCCCTGGAGTTGCTATCCAATAGGGTAGCCACAGCCAAAGAGGCTGGGAGTTCTGGGGAGGAGGCTGGTCTAAGATGAAACGTGCAGAAGGTCAAATGGACATCAGACACTGAGACTTGTCTAGAAAAAAGAATGTAAACTATCTTGATAATTTCTATATTTACTACATGTCAAAATGATAGTATAATACATATTACATTAAATTAGATCTATTCTTAGAATCACTTTAAAGTATTTGTTTTTCTACTTCTTTAAATGTGGCAACTGGAAAACTTTCTTCGTGTGACTCTCACTGCATTCCCGTTGTCCTGGGACAGTCTCATCCATTTGATGTATAGGTGAGGGGCTGAATCTGGAGACGCAGCAGATCGAAGCACTAGCTGAGCTGGGGGTGGAGCCCATGTCTCCTGCCTCCCAGGCTGTTCTTCCTGCCCGACAGCCACCATGCCAGGTTAGGACATCAGAAACACCGCCAGGGATGTCCGAAGGAGCTCCTTACACAGGGAAAGGCGTGTCATGGAGTATGGGACAGAGTATGGAAAAGTTCATCCTCACTTTGTCCCTGTGATTAGGTCAGTGGCCCCACTTTGCCCTGGAATTGCAGACGAGCTCTTCTGGGCCATCTGTCCCCCTCCGCCACTCCCTGCTCTGCTTCCCTGTGTGGCCATCGTACCATCCCTTGGGCAGAAGATGGCAAGATGCCTTTGCTGAGAGGTGATCCCCCTTTGCTGGGGAGAGCGAGGGAAGCTGTGTCCCCCAGCCTCGGGCCTCGGGCCCTGAGTCTGCTCTCCCCGCACTGGAGAGCATGCAAGGCGGTCTCATAGGTGACAATTGGTGGTCCTAGCACATGCTACCGGGTCCACTGTGGAGTCGAGGCTCCTTAATTCTTGGACTTATTTAAGGTCAGACCATACTTTCTGGGTTTTGGTAAGTTAGAGAATACACCAGAGAACTGACAAAAAGAAATTCTCGGCCAGCCCTGCGAGTGAAAGGCACAGGGGACCCGAGTCCCACCTGCATGTGGTGCCTGGTGGGCTCTGGATGAATTTTCAGTTCCTCCCTGGACATGCCTCTATGGCTTAAGGAAATGTGAGACATGTTGTGGCCATGATGTGTACTTGTCCTCGTAGGGCTCTGTGATCTACACACCTAAGCCCTCTTCTGCTCCTTGGAGATGAGGTGTCATGTTTAGGGTCCTGGGCTTTGCTGAGGGCACAGCTGCCAGCAGCAGGCCACTAACAGGCTGGCTCTGTCCACCTCACCTGTCACCTCCTGCTGAGCCCCCAGGCATTAGGCGAGAGAGGTACATCAGTGATGCACTAAGGTGGGGCTGCACGTGCACACAACACTGCAGCATCAGCAGGGACAAACTTCTCCCCCTGGACAGACTGGTGGATGAGCGGTGGAAGCCTGAAACCCTGCTCAAGCCCCCTGGCCAGTGCCTCCTCTTTTGTAATAGGAGGCACTTGTGACATTTTTGCCCAGCTACTGCTTGGCTCTGAGTCTGCGGACCCACTGGAGATTGCCAGCTTGTTTTTGCCTTTTGAAGTCTGTCCTCGGGATTTGGCGGAGGAGCTAATTTCAGGACAGTGTGCTTAGTGCATAGTGATTGACACTGCCACCATTGCTTACCCAGAACCTCGTCTAACAGGCACAGCTCTGGGCATCAAAATACAGCAGAGCATTAAACCTCCCTCCTGTTGGATCTGTCTGTTCTGGCACCAGAAGCGCTCGGCCAGCATCTGAACGTCAGTGAGATAACGCAGCCAGTGAGCTCCGGTCAAACACATTCTCCTCCCATCACTTTTACTCCATTGTTGCTTTTATTCCATAGTCACCCAACTTTTAAAACAATGCTTTGCTGCAGGAGCAGAGCCTAATTCTCTCCTGCTAGTCTTGGTGGGAGTGAGTAAAACTGTCCAGCCTGAAATGTGACCAAGTTTTGTAGATCAAAAGCTGTCTAGGCACATGTAGGTGGAGTTTTGGTTTGGGGCGCTGATGACGTTGGTGTCCCCACGGCAGTGTCGTTCCCCTCAGTCCCCTGGCTTCCCCGGAGCAGGAGGTGAAGGTGGGTCTCACTGTCCCCGCGTCTCTGGCCTCATCACACTCAAGTAAATTCTTATATTCATGCTGTCAAAGTTATATTGGTTGTTGTGTATTTCTAACTTTTGCTTGTTCCTCTTTTCCTTTTTCTCTCGTACCCCCCTGTGAGCATGCTGTTGGGTCTGAAAAGGTGGGTTGTGCACACCCTGCATCAGAAATACCTACATTTCACTTCGTGCTGCTTCCATCGCTTTAAAAAGCAAAAACTTAACACCTGACCTGATCCATTTATTATCCTAGTCATCTTATTACTTTCCTATGTTTTGGAATTTTTGCTTTGTTAACACATCATGCACTGGTGTTTGATACCTGTTAAAATTCTTGCTTGGAGGAGCCTGTTTGGTCCTTCTTATATTGGTGACCAATGAGCCATTATTAATTTTGCTTGTTTGTTTTGAGGAAGTGAGATGCGAATTGGTTTAGGTGGCTTCTGAGGGATGTTTTCCACGAGTATTTTCACTTGGAAAGTCAAAGTCTGCAGTACCTTGCTTGATTCTGTCTTTTACTCGCACGCGGTTCCTGGTCATCGCTGTGTCACTAACATGACGGCACTTCCTGGCCGGCGGTCACTGGGGAGGATGTGGACGGCTTGGGAGGGGATGAGCAGCCCACAAGGGGAGCTGTTAGAGGAAGCAGTTTTCTTTTGCTTTTGCCTTCCCCATGCCATTTACTTTACTTTGTCCTCGTAAAGGGGCAGAATTGGGTTTAAATCCATTTCACTCTTTTGTTCCCTTTACGAAGCTGGTTTCTCTGAGTATCAGGATAATGTGGCCTCCTGCTAAGTAGCTGGCTCACTTGGATCTGGTGGACATAGGGACCACTAACAGGGACCGTAGCTTTCTCTTGCTTCAGCCAGTGGGCATTCAGAGCCGGGTCTGTGGTTTGCTTAAGCAGCCGTGCAGGCCTCCCTGCTCCGGCCTTTACTTTAAACACAAGTTGGCAGTAAATAGCTGACTCTCTGTCTGTTGCAGTTGACGTCCACCACGGACGGCCGTGTCATTAGTTTGTGGTAGTGAGACTCCAACACCCCAGTCAGCCTTGAAGGGAGATGCTTTGACCGATGTAGGACCTTGGATTTTCACCCACACCCTGGTTCATCTCACCTGGGGGAAGGGTTTGGCCACCACTGTCATGCTGACCATGAGGCTTTGTTTCTTCTTTCATGCTCTAGTCCAAATGTGGACACTTCTTCCTTCACTGACTTGGTCTTGCTTGAGAGAGACAAGACTTTCTGAAAGAGTCCATCACATTCTCGGGGAGAACAGAACAGAAGTAAATGTCGCAAGTTGCCGGGTTGGCAAATGCAGGCTGGGATCTGTGATGGCTGGGCTGTGCCCTGGACATAGGCCTTTCCCGTGACTCCCGAGAGCCCAGGGGTCGGAGTGAGAACAGCCTTGCCTGGGTTCCTCCATCCTCATCTGCTCACTGGCAAGTGTGTCTGCTAATTAGGAGCTCCCCCAGACTTCGGGCCCTTCAAAGCTCAGACCACGGGAGAACCTTGGGTCCCTTCTCCTGGGCCTCCAGTGTGAGAATCCAGTGCTTTCTGAGGTGACCGGTGGCAGGAGATGGCTCCCTCTCCAGGGAGCACCGTTCGGAGGACTGTGGCTCACTTCACCATGCTGTGAGCTTGTGGGGTTCTGGCTGTGGTCCCTGCAGAACCAGACTTGAGATGGGCTTAGTGGTGGAAATAACAGGACTGATTCCAGGGCTGGACTGGGGGGAGGGAACAGGGGAAATT